CGGATTATCGATTGGTAGATTATTGCAAAGAGGCTGGTCCAAATCCACCAAAGTAACTTGATGGTCTCCAAGTGCTGCACGACCAGCAGAATCTGCCAACAGAAGAAGTGGTTCGGCGTCCAGTAAAATATCGATCAGACGTTGACTGGAGTAGGCCGGGTCAAGTGGAACATAAGCACCGCCAGCTTTCAGAATACCCAGTATAGCTACGAGCAATTTCGTGCTACGCTCAACGCATATTGCGATCCGATCCTCTAGTTTTACACCTTCAGCGATCAGATAATGCGCCAATCGATTAGATTGTATGTTGAGTTCTGCATAAGTCAGAGTTTTTTCATCACACTCTACGGCGATTGCTGAATCGGCACGCTTGACTTGTTCCTCAAACAGTTGATGGATACAATATTTTGCTGAAAATGTTGTCTCAGTTTTATTCCACTCATTGAGTAGAAGCTTGCGCTCGGCGTATGGTAATAAATTGAGGTTACCGACAGGTTTCTGTGCTCGATCTGTGCTATGAGCAGATGCAAGTAAAACTAATAAACGCGATGAAATACGGTTCACCTCCTCTTCTGATAGTTGATTTGCGTTATAGATCCAACGGAAGGTGTCATTGTGTTTGTTGATTTGAAGCGTCAGCAAACTGCCGTGAGCATCAATATTTTTTGACGAGTTTTCTTCTTGCGTGTTGATTATGGATACAGCCAGGGCCCAGGTTTTTTCTCTACACAAATCATTTGAAGAACATATGACATGTCGAACGACCAAATCTGACAAGCAAGGCAAGTGATTGACCAATTGTTCGCATTCCTTCTCTACATTTTCCACAACGCTTGAAAAGGTGTCATTCAAATCAATGGATGCGGAAAATGGTACGGTTTTTGCGAAAATATGTTTTGCTAGTACATTGTCGTCTTGGTAGCGACTGATAGATTCAGTTGCATCCCATCCGATTTGTAGATGTGACAATTGCGTATCTCGGGCAATGTATATAAGCCATGCAGCAAGTAGTTTAGTCGCATTGAACTCTATGGAAGATATACTTTGAAAGGAAGATGCGGCCCAAGCAGGTGGTTGATTGAAACTGCTGTCTACAATTGAAAGTGTACATGGCTCAAAATCGGCGAGACGCTGAGACCAGTAAGGCTCCAAACGCTTGGCCTCCTCGTGTGCCTTTCCAAGCCACTTAGCTTCCTCAGGCGTAATGATTTTGAGTTTATCACCTTCGAAAAGATGATATTGCTTCGAAAGCGCATGAGCTGCAACCGTTTGACCTTTTTCATCGAAGAAATTGCTTATTTTCACCACTCTTCTGCGACATCTTTCGTCGAGTGCATCAAGTGTTGCGACTGTGTTATTCGGCGCATCCACAACCAGATCTAAAATAAAAGTCAAACGATCCTTTAAAACAATGAGTTGTTCTTCTGAATGCACTTCTTCAATGTCATCTAACATGATGTCAAGACGACCGTTTGGGCGATCGGTCCAGAATGTTATTTGCAATTCATTGATTTCAATGTTTCCGCCAAAATGAGAGGAACAACTACAACCTTCAAGTTCCTCGCCATGATCATTGCGCATAACATTGATGTAGGGACCAAAGCTGTTATTTGCACTATATTTGGCGTGTCGCCGGATTTCGTCGATTCGATAGCGCTGATGCAGAAGGACTGATTTTGTCTCTTGAGAGACCTGCATTAGGACTTCTTTGAGCGTAGCATGTTGGGGAATACGCAATAGCAATGGCACAACATTCGCTGTCATGCCTAACTCTTGAGTCAAATGCGTGCCATGTACTGGCAAACTAAGGCTCAGATATTCATTGCCAAGTAAGTTTCGAAGCAATAGCGCTGAAGCACCGATGTACAATATAGATTCGGAAATATTAAGTTCAGCTGCTGTCGCTTGTAATTTCTGACGTTCGCTTATGCTCAATGTCTGTATACAACGATTAGTAATTTTGCTTCCAAAGGTATTGATGTTTCGCTGCGAGTAAGCATGGCTTTTCAATGGCTGAACATAGTCGTCCCAGAATTTCTCGTCTTGTTTATGGTCGTCTGAAGTTTCGTAGATGGCGTTCGCATTAGCAACCTCATCAAAAGATAACTTAGGTCGCTCGTTGATTCGCTTGTTTTGTTTCAAATCATTATAGGATGCAGCAAGCATGGATTCCAATTTGGCACAAGATCTGCAATCGATGATGCCGTGATGAAATCGTGCGTAAAGTATATGCGTATTTTCATCGATGATGTAGATAATGAACTCATACAGTTTGTCGTCGGTCATAAGATTGGACTGATTTGCAGCCTCTCTCATTCTTTTGAATGCCTCTTCGAGCGGTGCGGAATAAGTGCTGACATCAATCGTTCTTAATTTATGATGAATGCGGCGATCATGAATTTGCCAAAGTTCTCCATCCGAGTAAGTGAATCGTGTTTGCAATAATGGAATTTCCAAAGTAAGTTGTTCAATAACATTGGCTAGAACCTTTAAATCCAACGGACCACGGATAAACTTATAAGACCATAAACTGCATCTGGTGCCAGGTCGCGCTTGCTCAATAAGAAACATCTCGCGTTGAGCAGGCGTTGTGGTGCTACGAACAAGCGAAGCATCCGAATGAATTGATTCACCATTGGGTAGATTCTTCATAATTATGATTTTCTTCTTTAAAACACTTTATAAAACTTCTTAAGTTTAATCTGCAAAAGCAAATACAGTGAACATTAATTTTATTTACAAATAAAACTTACAATAAAATCATACTAATTTTCAACCAACTATGACTATCCAAGAATTGACAATTTCGCGACACGCCTATACAATGATTAGATTAGATTCTTAGAACAAAAACCAAATAAGTAGGCCAGAGCTGGGCACGAACAGTCGGTCGTTCGTTCGTAAGTGAAAATAATACTTTTTGTGGTCGTTCGTTGAAGTTATTAATGGTCGGTCGATTGTTCGTAAAAATTTAAATGTTCGCTGCGCTCGTTCGTTTGTGCGATCGTCAAATTTATCACATTAACATGATCACCAAATGTTTTCGATATTTTAATTTGTTTACATCGTGATCGTGTTAATGTAATTAATGTGGATTTCTGCACTTTATTTGACTCAATGTTGTGTTACACAGAGAGAAATAAATATATATATATTAGGGTGGGTCAAATTTTTTGTCGATGTAGCGTACCCCCTCACGGTGTTATTTGGATCATTTTAAGAATTTTTGGCCAAGGAACCATATGTCCAAAATGTATTTCGAGCAAGCGGTTTTTTCTCCATAGATATTTCCCAAATATCTATTATATAAATACGCTAAGCAAAAAAAAATTGTACCTCTCCTGCCCACAATTTTTATCGGATCGAAATTTTAAGCATACCGTTGGAAAGGTACACACAAGAGGAAAACCTAACAAATTATTTTGGGATTCCTATTAAAAAAATGAATTTGTAAGGTTTCCTTATAAAATCGCAATATTTTAACAGGAATCCTAATAAATTGGCGCGCCCAAACGTCAAAGCCAACTTCACTGTGTTGAAACA